CAGAGGGAGAGCGGATCAGAACATAAGGAGAGCGTTTGTGAACGAGGACGGGAACGGGAGGGAAGTTTGGGAAAATACAGGAGGGATTTTGTAGCTTTGAAGTTTCCGAATGAGATTAAAAAAATGTTCAATACCTGACACTAAAATATGACAACAAGGATCGTGTAAAAAGCTAAAATGAGCAACTGGATTAATGACAGATTTAGTTTTTGTTTTACGTTTGTGTAGAAATGGATGTTGATGACAGATTTCTCTCTGTGTTTTTGTGTAAATAAATGTGATTTTTATCCGAGACCAGAGAATTGTCAACATGTGTAAAGGCTCAGAAGACACAACCGCAGGAAAATATTCTGGTTGATTAAATTAAAATATTGTGATTATTCGTGTGTAAAAGTAGAATCCACGGCAACAGAAGAAATTCAATTCGTCAACTGGACAAAAATGTATTTTAGTCGAATACGTTTCTCAGCTGTTTCTTCAGTTCTGGTCAAAATGCAGGTGGACACTTCCTTATATCTGCCTGAAGGAACGAGGTAACTACACTGAAACTACTCTAAACCAGGACTCAACCAGGAATGAACCAGGACTAAACCAGGACTAAACCAGGACTAAACCAGGACTAAACCAGGACTAAACCAGGTCTAAACCAGGACTAAACCAGGACTAAACCAGGATTAAACCAGGAATGAACCAGGTCTAAATTAGGTCTAAACCAGATCTAAACCAGGCCTAAACCAGAACTAAACCAGGACTAAACCAGGACTGAACCAGGTCTAAACCAGAACTAAACCAGGACTAAACCAGGTCTAAACCAGGCCTAAACCAGGACTGAACCAGGTCTAAACCAGAACTAAACCAGGACTAAACCAGGTCTAAACCAGGTCTAAATTAGGTCGAAACCAGGTCTAAACCAGGACTGAACCAGGACTGAACCAGGTCCACACCAGGTCCACACCAGGTCAAAACCAGGACTCAAGCAGATCTGAATCAGGTCTAAATTAGGTCTAAACAAGGACTGAACTAGGTCTAAACCAGGTCTAAACCGGGACTAAACCAGGACTGAACCAGGTCTAAACCAGGTCTAAATTAAGAATGAATCGGGTCTAAAATGGGCCTAAACCTGGTCTAAATGAGGTCTAAACTAGGTCTAAACCAGGTCTGAACGAGGTCTCAACCAGAACTGAACCGGGACTAAATTAGTTCTGAGCCCGGACTCAACCAGGACCGAACCAGGTCTTGACCGGGACCAAACCTAGGACCAAACTAAACCAAGACAAACTTCAACCAGGACTAAACCAGGTCTGGATCGGGACTTTAAACAGGGAATGAAGCGGGACTGAAGTGATTCGCGAGTAAAGCAGAGATGTTTAAAGTCACACTGCGGAACTTTCCAGGCAGAGGACGTAAAAGTAGATATTTAAAAGTGTTTTTCTGAGCGGATGTGTGTGCGTCCGTGTGAAATCGTGGGCTCGTTCGTTCTAATAGGATAATGTTTGTGTTGTCAGTGATGGACCGGGCCCCATCACGACATAATTACACTGTTGTTTCATTTGGAGAGGAAAACGCACTCAATCAAAATGGCACCTTTAATTAGCAGCCCCGGGTTCTGCTAATGGATCCTACAGGAACAACCGGAAAAAAACACACAAAAAAAACAAAAAGAACTGCAAAAACGAGGAGAAATATCAGAGAGTTCAGTTTGGTTTGGGATTGAAAACTTGAAAATAAACTATAGCAGAGACGATCTTAAAGGTGCACTGTGGAACTTTCCATGAAGATGTTAAGGATTTGGGTTAAATTGTACAGTTGTAGGGAGTATTATACATTACGTAAGTGCAAGTTGTTGTGCAGTTGTAGGGAGTATTATACATTACGTAAGTGCAAGTTGTTGTGCAGTTGTAGGGAGTATTATCTGTCAAATTGTACAGTTGTAGGGAGTATTATACATTACATAAGTGCAAGTTGTTGTACAGTTGTAGGGAGTATTATACATTACGTAAGTGCAAGTTGTTGTGCAGTTGTAGGGAGTATTATCTGTCAGATTGTACAGTTGTAGGGAGTATTATCTGTCAAATTGTACAGTTGTAGGGAGTATTATACATTACGTAAGTGCAAGTTGTTGTGCAGTTGTAGGGAGTATTATCTGTCAGATTGTACAGTTGTAGGGAGTATTACCGTAGTAGGGAGTATTATCTGTCAAATAAGTGAAGTCAGTTGTAGGGAGTATTATACATTACGTAAGTGCAAGTTGTTGTACAGTTGTAGGGAGTATTATCTGTCAGATTGTACAGTTGTAGGGAGTATTATACATTACGTAAGTGCAAGTTGTTGTGCAGTTGTAGGGAGTATTATCTGTCAGATTGTACAGTTGTAGGGAGTATTATCAGTTCAGTTGTTAGGGATTGTACAGTTGTAGGGAGTATTATCTCTTACATAAGGTGAGTTGTTGTATTATCTGTCATAAGTGTGCAGTAGGGAGTATTATCTGTAGTGCAAGTTGTCAGTTGTAGGAGTATTATCTGTCATAATGTGTACAGGTGGGAGTATTATCTGTTAGTTGTAGGGAGTATGTAGTCAGTGTAGGGAGTATTATCTGTTACATAAGGGTGAGTTGTTGTACAGTTGTAGGGAGTATTATCTGTTACATTGTACATTTGTAGGGAGTATTATCTCTTACATAAGGCTGAGTTGCTGTATAGTTGTAGGGAGTATTATTTGTCACATAAGGATTTAAAAAAATATTTTTCACCCATGAAGTTTAACGCTAATGAGAACAAAAATTTGTGTAATTTATCATTTTGTGGAAAAAGTCTAAACCAGGACTGAACCGGGTCTAAATCATGTTTAAACCAGGGCTAAACCAGGTCTAAACCAGGTCTAAAACCAGGTCTAAATCTAAACCAGGTCTAAATCAGGTCTAAACCAGGTCTAAATTAGGTCCAAACCAGAACTGAACCAGGACTGAACCAGGTCTAAATTAGATCTAAACCAGGTCTAAATTAGGTCTAAATTAGGTCTTAACCAGGACTGTACCAGGTTTGAACCAAGTGTAAACCAGGTCTGAACGAGGTCTAAACCAGGACTGAACCAGGTCTAAATTAGGTCCAAACCAGGACTGAACCAGGTCTAAACCAGGTCTGAACGAGGTCTAAACCAGAACTGAACCAGGTCTAAATTAGGTCTGAGCCTGAACTCAACCAGGGCTGAACCAAACCAAGTCTAAACCAAGACTATCTCAACCAGGACTCAACCAGGTCTGGATCAGGACTTTAAACAAGGAATGAAGCAGGACTGAAATGATTCACGACTGAACTGGAACTCGAACCGGACCCAACCAGGAGTTCCAGGTCAGATCTGTGGAGAGGCGACTCCGCTCACAGTCTAGTCATGTCGATATTCCTCCGTATTTTTGAACTTTAAAACCACCTGGAATTGAATAAAAGTAAAGTCTAAATCTGATCATATCCGCTCGCAAAAACCCAAACCGCACATTTATCCGCTTTTTTTTTTTTTTTTTTTTTTTTTTTGTCGCTCTCTCCCGTGTTCTAACGTCGTTTCCTCGTCACGAACGCGCCTGAAGAGGTTTAAGACTCATCCACGCGTGTTTGAGTAATTTAGTGATCTCCCGGGCCCCATTCAAACCCTCTTTTGGCCTGGAATGTTCCGCAGTATGGCATTAAACCTGTCTATCTCAATGGAAATAGACCCGACAGCACAAGGGGAAGGGGATCTGGTTTAGTCCTGGTTTAGTCCTGGTTTAGTCCTGGTGTAATCCTGGTTTAGTCCTGGTTTATTCTTGCTGTTTTATTCATGCTTTAGACCTGGTTCAGTTCTGTTTTAGTCCTGGTTTAGTTGTGATTTAGTCCTGGTTTGGTCCTGCTGTTTTATTCCCACTTTAAAACTGGTTCAGTTCCGGTTTATTCCTGGTTTAGTCTTGGTTTAGTCCCGGTATAGTCTTCGTTTAGACCTGTTTTAGCCCTGATTTAATCCTGGTTTAGTCCTGATTTAGTCCTGGTGTAGTCCTGGTTTAGTCCTGGTTTTGTCCTGATTTTGTCCTAGTTTAGTCCTGGTTTAGTCCTGATTTTGTCCTGGTTTTGTCCTGGTTTAGTCCTGGTTTAGACCTGGTTCAGTGCTGGTTTAGACCTGGTTTAGTCCTGGTTTTGTCCTGGTTTAGTCCTGTTTTAGTCCTGGTTTTGTCCTGATTTTGTCCTAGTTTAGTCCTGTTTAGTCCTGGTTTAGTCCTGGTTTAGTCCTGTTTTAGATTTCGTTTTGTCCTGGTTTAGCCCTGTTTTAGTCCTGGTTTAGTCCTGATGTAGTTCCAGTTTTAGTCCTGGTTTAGTCCTGGTTTAGTCCTGGTTTTGTCCTAGTTTTTAGTCCTGGTTTAGTCCTGGTTTTAGTCCTGTTTTAGTCCTGGTTTAGTCCCTGTTTTAGTCCTGGTTTAGTCCTGGTTTTGTCCTGGTTTAGTCCTGTTTAGTCCTGTTTAGTCCTGGTTTTAGTCCTGGTTTTAGTTTTGTCCTGGTTTAGTTTTAGTCCTGGTTTAGTCCTGGTTTAGTTTTTAGTCCTGTTTTAGTCCTGGTTTTGTCCTGATTTTGTCCTAGTTTAGTCCTGGTTTAGTCCTGTTTTAGTCCTGTTTTAGTCCTGGTTTTAGTCCTGGTTTAGTCCTGGTTTAGTCCTGGTTTTAGTCCTGGTTTAGTCCTGTTTAGTCCTGGTTTAGTCCTGTTTTAGTCTGTTTTAGTCCTGGTTTAGTCCTGTTTAGTCCTGTTTTAGTCCTGGTTTAGTCCTGGTTTTAGTCTGTCCTGGTTTAGTCCTGGTTTAGTCCTGTTTAGTCTGGTTTAGTCCTGGTTTAGTCCTGGTTTAGTCCTGGTTTAGTCCTGGCTCGGTCTTGGTTTGGTCCTTGTTTAGAGCTGGTTTCAGTTTTCTGATCTTAAATCCATCATAAAAAACATCTGTTCTGTTTTATTTTATTTTATTTTATTTTGTTTTGTTTTTGTTTTTTCCAGCGGGCAGAGGAGGGAGCACCCAGTGTCCAGAGCGGTGCCAGGATACGATGAACTGGACGCAGCCCGACGCAGAGTACTCGAGTACGATCCAAACCGG